CTAAGGCCATTCTTGGTACATTGAGTGAAATAAAGTGGGAAAAGATTTCCATATATCCGGTTCAATTATATTGATCAATGTCAAGTACTACTTGCCATAAAGATTGGATTAGTAGCAAGGAATTCTGCTTCATATTGCGAGGCACACGCAATATACAATTACATTTACCGACAAAAAGAGAAAAAAGATTGAATAATTGTACGTGCTCTTGCAATAGTAATTATATATTGCTTGTGTCTCGCTGTAAATAAGAAGTTATGTGTGTTGCAATGCAATTCCCAATTGTCGGGGGCTTTTAATTTTCAATTTGTTATCTTAATACATCTTTTTGAAGTTTTACGGAAGAATACCTTTGCCGGGTGGTGGGTTCTATTTTGGTGCATTTAGAATGAAAGGACCAGATAGTTCGTTTAGAAAAAATACTATCAGTGAGATTTCTGTTGAATTCTTTTGGTGCCTGAAGTTAGCAAATTACCCTATAATTAATCCGATGTCTCTATCCTTGACCAGTCCTTGCTCGGTGCAATTTGAACCAATCATTCTTACATTTATTTTATTTTTAGCATTCTCCTCAAATCTTTTTCATCTATAAATATTGAAAGAAGAAAATGCATATCCATATTTCATTTTCATATCTAAATGCCATTTGCAACAAGAGAGAATGGATTCCTCCAAGGTTTGCATTGTCTCGGTGTGTTTAATGGCCTTAACCACTCTATCCTTCGCCCTAACCGGCCCTCAGAAATTCGTCAATGCCCATAACGTAGCCCGCAATGAAGTCGGCGTGGCCCCCCTCGTGTGGAACAATACCCTCGCTGCCTACGCACAGAAATATGTCACCAAAAGGTCTGCAGATTGTGCAATGGAGCATTCTGAGGGACCCTATGGCGAAAACATTGCAGCAGCCTCATGGAATCTGACTGCAAAGGAAGCTGTGGATATGTGGATTGAGGAGAAGAAGTTTTATAATGCAAAGTCAAACACTTGTGATGGAGAAGGATGTTTGCATTACACACAGGTTGTTTGGGCCAACACCAAGCGGGTTGGCTGCGCTAGGGCTAAATGCCAAAATGGATGGACATTTGTTTCATGCAATTATGATCCTCCAGGCAATTACATTGGCGAACGTCCTTATTAGGCTGATGCCTTATGTTTGTTCAAGCTAAAAAAATGACTTTTTACCCGTCATTCAATAACATATATGATGATATGTTATGGGCTTTTTATTTTCTTGCCAAGGTTAATTTTGCAGTAGAAGATGAAAAGAAAATCTTCAATCTTTCATGCAAGCAAGCACAATCAGTTTACTTGTTGCATGATTTGAGGTTTGAATATTCATATATGAATTTAATTTATTTCTTCTATATTTTATTTTCCTTTTTGGTAAAATCCTTATTTTATACTTATTGATCTTAGTCTCTTATCTTTGACACATATGCGTGAGCCCTACAATAGTGATTTGACATTAATAGAATAAGTGAGAACATGAATGGATAAACTAAAATTAACTTTAACATGATGTGTTACAGTTGCTTATTATTGATGGTAGTAAATCTTCCAACAATTTAGTACTCAACATAATTGAGAAAAGTGGTTCTTACATATAGTCTTTCCATAATTAACTGGGAGCTTAACTCGACGTAAACAATGCTCACAAACTCATGCCTTTCTTGGTTGGGACCAATCCAACCCGCCATTTTTAACTCAATTATGCTACTTGTACATAAAAATAATTTATACGGGGTCACATAAAATGATGTGGAAGGAAAAAATTGGATGAAAAAGTTGACTGTGTTTTCAACTGGAAAATGATAAATGACATGTGATATTATGTAATCCATTATGTAAAGCTTGACGTACATGTAGTAAGGTTCTTTTCAACTTCCTATTTTGGCGGAGCATCTCTCTCTCTCTCTCTTTTTAATTTTTTTGATTGGGGATGGGTACCAAAGCAGTTCAAGAACGAACCAAAGAAAATGTTTTTATTCCTTTTAGTATAATTTTAGACAAACTTATGAAGAGCACAATAGGAATACTCATGCAAAGTTTGGCATGCGAAGTCTTATTTTTATTTAATATACGTAATGATTCAATTTAAATCTGATGGAGGCCGTTCACTGTACCAATTTATTTGTCAAATATATTGACAAGTAATTTTAACTCTTAAGCTAATCTAACTATCTAAATCTCTTAAAAATTTTACTATGTATGTTATGAGGTATATCCACAATATATATTTACTAGAATTTTCTCCAGCTAACAATTGTACATTTGTCCATCATTTGCGCAATATTTGCAGGAAAATCAATTGTCCATAAACATGATTGACTCTATTTCCACGTCCATTATAAGTCCATGTTTTAAATTAAACTCTTTCTCTATCCATTTCGTTGCCTTAATTACTGATTTGTTTTATAAATTATATATAGTTAAAAGCTGTAATCAGCAACCATGAGTATGCTTTCTTTTCTTTCAACGTGACATAAAGAAGCATGTTTCATACGCAATTGGACTCTACAATTTCATAAACAAAATTTCAACTACTTTCTCTCTTTAAAAACTATGAAGTAGTTTCCAGCACTATACACTAAATATGTCCATGCTGTTTTAGCATAAATACGCCATCAAATAAGGACAGACCATAGTCCAGGAATTATTCTGTGGGGTGAGATTATTGTGATGGAGTGATAATTTGCATTACAAATTTGTTGCATACGATTGACTAAATCAGATATACGAGAACATTAACATCCAGGATTGGAAACTTGAGCTCTTTCACAAAAAAAAAAAAGAATTTATTGCAGGGGTCTTACACGTCTCAAGACTGAAAAAATGTTAGAAGGAACAATAACCAAAATTCCAAGTACTGATGCTTCGCTTTGTGATAATTAAAGTACTTGACTCGCTATTTTATTTTCAATTACTATAAAATAGTCCATGTTACAAATAAATTTTTGTTTGTCGAAGAAAAAAAAAAGAGAGGTGAAAGACAATAGACCAATTCGTAGGAATTCAAACCTCCCAAAATGATTAACAAGAAGCCGTACTTTCTTTCTCAGATAATGAATCTTGATTTTGCCCTCTTAAATTAAATAGAGAAATTACATGAACCATCCCTAATACTTGGGTTACGTTTGGTTTGCCCCTTCTTAAAGTCAGTACCGGTGTTGATTTGGAAAAACATGCACGGTCTAATAAATAGTTTTAATTTTTCCAAATTCATAATTGGTATTTCTCAAGTTGGACTAGTTTTTGTTCAATAAAAAGATTTCCATGCTTTAGTGGCCGTATATAACACCATATATATCCTTTGCAAAATTATGAATCACGTGGTGTAATGCCTTCTTGAAGCAAAGAAAAGCAAAAATGGTTAAGTTTATACACTTCTTCATTGTGTTAACAATGTCATCATATTCATCTCAAGCCAAAAGCACCAGACAAGACTATCTTGATTCCTACAATGCTGCACGTGCCCAGGTGGGATTTGGAGCTACGACATGGGATGATAATGTAGCAGCCTTCACACAAAACTATGCCAATCAGAGGATTGGTGAATGCAATCTCGTCTACTCTAGCAACCGACCCAATGGAGAGGCCCTTGCAAAGGGCAGTGGTGAACTTGTGGGTGGCTGAGAAGGGAAATTACGATCCAAACTCAAATTCGTGAGTAGGAGGAGAGTGCGGGCATTAAAGACGAGTAGTGTGGCGCAATGCAGTATGCCTTGGATCCGATAGAGTTCAGTGCAATGATGGATGGTGGTTTATTTCTTGCAACTATGATCCCATAGGCAATATTACTGTCCAACGCCCTTGCTAAGGCTATTCTTGGTACATTGAGTGAAATAAAGTTGGATAGGATTGCCATATGTCCGATTCAATTATATTGATCAATATCAAGTACTACGTGCCATGAAGATTGGCTAGTAGCAAGTAATTTCGCTTCATGTTGTGTGGCACACACAATATATTATTACATTTACAGACAAAAAGAAAAATAGAAGATTGAATAATTTTACCTGCTTTTGCAATAGTAATTATATACTGCTTGTGTCTCGCAATAAATAAGAAGTTTGTATGTATTGCAATGCAATTCTCAATTGCTGGGGGCTTTTAGTTTTTCATTTATTATCTTAATACATCTTTTGGAAGTTTTATGGAAGAATACCCTTGCCTTGTGGTGGGTTCTATTGTGGTGTATTTAGAATCAATGGCGGATCTACATTTGGTCCCGGTGGGTCACGTGACCCACCTATTAAAAATATGTTTTTTATTATAAAAATAAAAGATGGAGTAATGAAAAAACTGTTCCAGTTTCCAATTGAAAGAATCCCAAACCGTCTCAACTTTCAAGATCCAAATTCTAATCCAAAGAAACCTAATTGAAATTCAATGCAAGAAACTGATCCACTCCCAATTCAATCCCAACTTCCAGCTCGGCGGCTCCCAATTCCAAACTTTGAAGCAAAACCCAATAATTTGCTCCATTCATGACGACCATTCTTGACTCGATTCCATTCGCCAGCGATTCAACCACCTCAAACGAAAAACAAACAGCAATATCGTTCTCCACTAACTTCAAATGTCTGCGTCTACCACTATTTAGAATGAAAGGATCGGATTGCTCTTAAATAAATGCAATGTTTGGTTTAAAAAAAATACTGTCAATGAGATTTCTGTTGAATTCTTTGGGCGTCTAAAGTTAGCGAATTCCCCTATAATTAATCCGATGTCTTATCCTTAACCAGTCCATGCTCCATGCAATTTAAACCAACCATTCTTAAATTCATTTTATTTTTAGCATTCATCCCGAAACTTTTCATCTATAAATATTAAAGGAAGAAAATGCATATCCATATTTCATTTTCATACCTAAATGCCATTTGCAACAAGAGAGAATGGATTCCTCCAAGGTTTGCATTGTCTCGGTTTGTTTAATGGCCTTAACCACTCTGTCCTTCGCCCTAACCGGACCTCAGAAATTCGTCAATGCCCATAACGTAGCCCGCAATGAAGTCGGTGTGGCCCCTCTCGTGTGGAACAACACCCTCGCTGCCTACGCGCGGAAATATGTCGCCAAAAGGTCTGCAGATTGTGCAATGGAGCATTCTGAGGGACCCTATGGCGAAAATATTGCAGCGGCCTCATGGAATCTGACTGCAAAGGAAGCTGTGGATATGTGGATTGAAGAGAAGAAGTTTTATAATGCGAAGTCAAACACTTGTGATGGAGATGGATGTTTGCATTACACACAGGTTGTTTGGGCCGACACAAAGCGGGTTGGCTGCGCCAGGGCTAGATGCCAAAATGGATGGACATTTGTTTCATGCAATTATGATCCTCCCGGCAATTACATTGGCGAACGTCCTTATTAGGCTGATGCAATATGTTTGTTTGAGCTAAAAAATGACTTTTTAGCCATTATTCAATAACATATATGACTTTATGTTATGGGTTTTTATTTTATTGCCGAGGTTAATTTTGTAGTAGAAGAAAAAGAAAATCTTCAATCTTTTATGCAAGCAAGAACGATCTATTTGCTTATTGCATCGCTTGAGGTTTGAATATTCATATTTGAGTTTAATTTATTTCTTCTGTATTTTATCCTTTCCTTTTAGGTAAAATCCTTATTTTATACTTATTGATCTTAGTCTCTCATCTTTGACATATATGCATGGTCCTACAACAGTGATTTGACCTTGAAAGAATAAGTCAAAACATGAATGGATAAACTAAAATTAACTTTAATATGATGTGCAGTAGTTGTTAATTGTTAATGATAGTCAATCTTCAAACAATTTAAACATAATTGAGAAGAATGGTTCTTACATATAGTCTTTCCATAATATATTGAGAACCTAACTCGGCAAAAACAATGCTCACAGACTCATGCCTTTCTTGCCATGGACCAACCTAACCGACCATTTTCAACTCCTATATTGGCGGAGCAACTCTCTCTCTCTCTCTCTCCCCCCCCCCCCCCCCCCCTTTTTTTTTTTTTCTTTT